GCGCTCTATAACCATCATGCTCTGGAAACTGTCCAAATGCCTGTTAATGGTAGTTTGGGAAAATAAATGGTGGTATACTCTCATGTTGTCATACAGTAATGAGAATGAGCAAACTACAACTACACATCAAACTGTACACATATTTCACAAGCCTAATATTACACAAAAGGATAATACCATTACAGTCTAGATGGTTCCAACTCACAGTAGCTCAGTAGGACCGAGTAGAATTTCCCCATAGGCTTTCCTAGGTTATATTCCTGACAGAGGCAGACTGACACGTATGCTTCCTACAGAGCAGTTGATAGGTTCAAACTGCCCACCTCTCTATTACCAGTCAGGTACTTAACCACTGTACATACCACCAGGGCAACAAAAGTATAACAAGCACATACATCACAGGCATCTCTAAGCATATGATGTCAGGGCCTGGCTCCTGGGTAACTTTGTGGAACAGTGACCGTGGGCAAAGCTGGAAGGCTTCCAGGTGGTGGGCATACTCTGTTCCTAAATCTTGGTGCTGATGATGCAGCTGTAGGCACATGCTTTTTGTATGTTTCTGTGTATGTAAAAGATACACTCCAAGTTTGATACTTCCAGCATGGTTAGTTGAGATAGATACTACATACAGTTCAGTGTGAGTATGAAGTGACCCTGGAGACTTACAATGTAGTAGACTATGAAAAGCCCTATCTGCCATAGGAGGCTTGTTGATGTTGGTGTTAAACACTCAGCTGCTAACTGAAAGGTTGGTGGTTTGAACCCACCAGCTACTTCTGCTTCCATGAAGATTTGCAGCCTTGGAAACCCTATGAAACAGTTTGACACTACTCTATATAGGGTTGCTATGAGTCAGCATTGACTCAAACAATTTTTTAAATTATTTTTTTTCTGTATGCTATGCCAAGTTGCTTAAAGTGTTCAGATAAGACCGAAGAAAGCCTGTGTATAACAAAAATGTCATGGCTACATTTATATTTTTAACAGCTTAATGGTGGCCAACAGTGCAGAAAACAGATGAAGTATAAGGATGCTGGAGCTAAGACCATATCCTCATTGACTCAATACATATTGATCGAGGAATGACTAAGTCGGTTCCAGAGATACCAGGAGTGAGCACAACAAAGACCTGCCTGCCCTCATGGAAATTATTCTCCAATGGGAAAACAGATAATAAATAAGCACATGAATAAATAAGGTCTAAGGTCCTGGTGTGGCGCTGTGGGTTAATGTGCCAGACTGCAAAGACATTTGAACTGCAAGGTTAGCAGGTCACCAGCTGCTCCTTGGAAACCCTATACAAGGTTGCTATGGGTCAGAATTGATTCGACGGCATTTCACAACAACAACAACAACAAGGTCAAAAGATGTTTTGTAGAGAAAAATATAAAGTAGGGTAAGGAGTTGACGAGTGAGAGGTTGATACTGCTTAAGAAAGACATGGTGGTCAGGACAAGACCCACCGACAAGGTGATGAACAGAGACCTAAATAAAATGAGGGGGAGTCATAAAAGTGTCTGAAGAGTCCCAGGCAAGGACTAACAGATGCACATTTGTTGAAAGGAGATGGACTTGCATATTTAATATTCAAGGAACATAAACAAGTTGGTATGTCTACAGGAGACTGACTAATGAAGAAAGTGGTTGGGCATGAGATTGGAAAGGTAATCAGTTTCTAGTTCACGTAGAGTCTGATAAGATGTGGTAAAGGAGTCCCTGGGAAATGTTTGGCTTTGTTGCTGTTGTTAAGTGCCGCTCAGTCAGTTCTGACTCATAGTGACCCTGTTTAGGGCTTCAGAGGAGTGATTGGTGAGTTTGAATCACTGACCTTGTGGTTCAAACCAACCTTGTGATCTAGTGCTTATCCTACAGCACCATATGCTTGACTAGTAACCAAAAAATTGACAGTTCAAATCCACCCAGAGATGTCTTCCAAGAAAGACCAGAAAATCTGTTTATGAAAGGTCACAGCTTTGAAAACCCTAGGGAACACAGTTCTACTCTGCACACATGAGGTGTCCATGAGTTGGAATGGACTAGACATCAACAGGGCTTTTTCTTACAACATGATAAGGGCTTTGGATTCCCAAGCCTCCATGCTTAACACAATAAAAGTTGTTTTGTTTGTTCATGTAAAGCTCAATGGAAGTTTGGACAGAAGGCTTTCCTAGTGACTTTCTCTACATATAGGAGGACCATAGTAACTTTGGGATCAACCTTCTTCTCTGTTGTGGATCCATCATATAGTGGACTCAAGGTTATCCCTGAATCGTAACATCAATGAACCAGCAGATGGAAGAAGCATGAAGGATCATACACCTGTTACTGAACTACCTTGGCTGGAAGTGGTACACATAGCTTTCACTGACATTTTTTGACAAAAATTAGTCACATGACCCTCCTATATATATAAAGGATGACCAGGAAATATCACTTCCAGCTGGGCTGTCACTTTCCACCATTAAGTAGAACATAAATCTTTAGAGATCAGGTAAATTTGTTTGGTTTGTCACAGATCACAATGGAGAGACATTGGGGTCACTTTACAAGGGTATTATTGCCAGACTCTTAAAAAGTTCTCTGACTGCTAACTGGTTTATAGATTGGGATAGGGTTGCATTGAAGGAAACAAGGAGATAAGGTGGAAAGATGTTTCAGTAGTCTTGGTAACAGATGCTGGCAACTTGAACCGGGTGATGGAAGCACAAGAAGAGATGTGGTTGAATTGGGATTGATTTTGAATATAATGTCAGTAACATTTGCTCATAGCTAGACTAGATGAAGATGTAAGAGAAATGGTAGGGAAGGGATTTTGGTTTGAGAAACTAGTTGAGATGGGGTCTAAATGTCACCTTGCTTCTCACAGGTCATCTTCTCCATTATCCCTACCACAATTACCCTGTTTCCCACTGAAACCCAGCTGAACCACCCCAGTACTCTGGGTTCTTTTCACTCTATTCTTCTGTGTAACACTCCTCAACCTAATCTAACATTAGCTGTAATGTACTTATTTATTTTGTTTATTATTGTTCGTATTAGAATAAAACACTGTGAAGGCAGGGAGTTTATAATGGTTTGTGCACTAATTATTCTACACACATACTTGGTGCTCAGTAAAGAATTATTTGTGGAATTACTAGAGGAGTAGGCTTAGGTGAGAGAGGATGAAATTAAGAACTTTGTTTGGGGCATGTTAAACTTAAGATGCTTATTAAATATCCAAGAAATGTTGAAGAGAGTTAGATTTGCTATTTTGAAGTCCAGAAAGTAGTTTCTGGGTAGGATTTTTATTTTTAGAATTTATCAGCATATTGTTGTGGTTGTTAGTGCCTTCTAGTTGGTTCTGACTCACAGCGACCCTGAACAGGGTTTTCAAGGAGCGACTGGTGTGTTTGAACCTCCAACCTGTGGTTAGCAGCCTGATGCTTAACCTACAGCACCACACCAGGAAAGCCAGTTAGGGTGTCTGCAGAAGGAGATGTGATAAACTGGGTCCAACACTTCTGAGAGGTTGAGTAGCATGGGGACTGGAATTGTCCATTGTCACAGTATGGAGGTCACAGTGACCTTAACAAAATACCTTCTTAGAGCAGTGAGGAGGAGAAACTGATTTAAGTGGATTCAGAAAAGAAAAGGGAGGTATGGTTGTGGAGGAAATGAGTGTAGAAAGTGAATATAGAAATTACTCCACAGGAGAGCCAGAATGTAGCATAATACCTGGAAAATGCCCTATACCTGGAAAGTGATGTAGGATCAAGGGAGGCTATTTTTTATTTTATTTTATTCCATTAGGATTGACAATAGTACAGCATGCTTGTATACTGATGCAAATGATCCACTAAAGAGAGAAACTGGCAGTGCAGTAGACTGGATTATAATTGTTAAGAGAAAAGAAAATAGGTAAGGAAAAAATCTAATCCGGTACCCACGAAGGACAGGGACTAGGAAAGAGAGGGCTAATCTGGATAAAAAGACAATCATGGTTACTAATAGAACTGCAAGAGAATGAGATGACCTCTGTGAGGATTCGGAAGCTGAATCTGGTGTGTTTACCTCAGGGAGGCAGAAGCTGAATGAGGTCCTGGTTCCTGTTTTGGACCCTAGATACTGGTTGCCCACACCCAGTAATATGGCCTAGACAAGGTTTCCCTCTGCCTTGAGAAGTGCGAGCAAGAAAGGCCAGGAGAGAACACAGACAATGGAGGTTCAGAAATAGGAAGTAAACTGTTGAGTATCACACAACTAAGGAGCCCTGGTAGTGTTGTGGATTACAAACTGGGCTGCTAACCACAAGGTCAGCTGTTTAAATCTACCAGCTGCTCCACAGGAGAAAGATTTACAGCCTCGGGAACCCTATACAGGGTCATTGTGAGTTGGAACCGACTCAGTGGCACACAATCACCACTATCAAACTACTCGGGGTTGGTAGGGCAAAACCCAGGTTGGTCTGACTTAAAATCCGAATTCTTATGGAAATACACTTGCCTTTTGTCATAAGTCTCCTAAAAATGGAATGCATTCCCAAGGATAGGGTTTTTAGATCAACTTTCCCATATTTCTTACATAGGGATTGCTCTGCTGATGTAAAGATTTAAAGAGGCAGGTGTCTTAAGTGTCTAGAATCTCAGGCCAGTCTTGTAAGTGACCCCCAAGCCTGAAAGAAATGGGCTCATGTGGTTAGTTCCTCCTTCACTTTCACCTTACTTGCTCTGAGACACCTTAATGTTACGTGACAACTCATTTCACTGATGCCAGTAATAATTATACATGAAAAAAATCAATTGGCTTGAAAAATTGGGATGCTGGCCTTCATATTATTATTTTTGAATTATGTAACAGCAAGGTTAAGAGTTGCTGCATGTGAGGGAAATTGATATAGTACGTCTAGTATATGAGTTCTTAATGATCAGCTATTGGATTAAAGGAGGATATTACTTATTATTACTTGTACTTAACATTTAATTTGATTAGTGACTAAGTGCTTTTTGTATTTCTTTCAGATGTGGCCCATTTAATGTGGTTTGAAAGACTCTATGTTTGGCTTCAGTGTTTTGAAAAATATATCTTGTACCCAGCCATAATTTTGAATGCCCTCACTATTGATGCGTTTTCAATAAGCAATTACAGGAGACTCGGTACCCAGTAAGTGGATAATGATTTCTTCTCATAATGACTTGGATCACAATGTTTTCAAAACCCAGTGACTTTCTCTAAACAGATTGCAACAGAAGCTAAACGTATACCTACTAAGTATGGTCCATGTGAAACTGGATCACTGTGGTCTTGAACTCAAACTCTATAGAGCTGACTGGGGTTGCAGTGCGAATGGGGTGTAAATGAGGTTAGATCTGCTCCAAATGATGTTGTAGATAAATGGCAGGACATTTGAAAATCATCCACAGCAGCTTAGTCAGTGAGCCTTACCAAGATGGTGGGCGCACAGTGTGAACCTGGGGCTCCTGCGGTTCCTACCGGAGTGCTTGTGGTATCTCATTTAGCAGACACTCCATCATGTTTGACAGGGGGAGGGGAACCAATCACTGTCCCTGCTTCCTCTGCATTCATCACTTTGTAATTAAAAACAAAAACAGGAGCACACAGGCATACGCAGTTAAGATGCTTGTGTTTTTGTGAAGCATTAACTAACTAGCCAGTTTATTGGTTTCATCTGTTAAAATTGTATCTGAATTTATAAATAGAAAGCTACTTGATAATTTGCAGGTTTCTCCTTCTGACAAGAGGTGAATGTTTCTGGTCAAATAAAGTTGTTAGAGTAGGAGGATAAGAAAGATTCTCTTTCTCAGATTTGCTTATTAGCCACGTTTCTTAAACACCATGTGTGCACCTCAACCCTAGCAGAAAATCCCACGCATACTAATCCAGACCTGCTCTTCTTTTCAGGGGTAATGAGAGCATGTTAATTAATGTTTGTTAAATATTGAGCAAGCTAAGATAAAAGTCTTTCTAATACTCTGTTGGACTTTTGATAGGTATACAGACTTTTAATGTAAGTCGTGGTATGGCGCTGTGGGGTAAAACACTGGATCTCAAGGTTGGTTGAGCCACAAGGTCAGTGGTTCAAACTCACCAGTAGTTCATTGGAAATCCTATACAGAGTCTCTATGAGTCAGAAATGACTCAACAACAATTAAAATAACAATAGTTACTAAAGACAACTCCATAACCTTCCTGTCTACCTTCCAGTCCAGAGTTGTTTTGGCTGGGCTAGGACAAATAGTCCACACCCTTAGACAGCTGTCATTTTAGACTTCAGATCTGAGGGTGAGAACTAGTCCCACTGGGTAAAGGAAGCACGACTCCCATTAAAAGTCAGGTACAACCCTGGCTGGCCCCTTGACTACATCCTGGCACAAGGTAGATCCTCAATTTCTAAAATGAAGACATGCATTTAGAACCAGAATAGCAAAGTCAGTAGCAGGGCTGCTCCAGAGCATCAAGCTCAAGGCCTCTCCTTGTGAAACCAAGATTAGGACCTGAAACAGGGACTGCAGGTTGAGGCCAAGCTGTCTGCTATTGGCAGAGGATAGACGTGAGGGCTGGGACCCAGGTAGAGTGAAATGAACAGTTCAGAGAGAGTCAAGACACTCCAGCTCTTGTACTGGGTCTTTTCCCAGGCAATAAGTCAGAAAGGAGCACCTTACCTATGTTGTTGTTGTTGTTGTTAAGTGTCATCGAGTTGGTTCCAACTCATAATGAACCTGTATAGGGTTTCCAAGGAGTGGCTGGAGAGTTTGCACCACTGACTTGCTGTTCAAACCAACCTTGCGGTCCAGTGTTTTACCTAAAGCGTCACACTAGGACTCCCATCCTTGTATATTTCTCATTCATCTCAATTCCCAGATGAGACCATTAGAATTAATTTTCTCTGGACCGAAAACTGACACTCTCTGTCCTTGAGGCATTTGTGTCAAAATTAAAAAAAAAAAAAAATCTCAGGATTTCAGATACCCCTCCTCCTGATCATCTGCTCTCAAAAAGACTGTAAGAGGTAGTATACCAGTATTACCTTTTTAAAATTATTATGAGCTTGTTGTTGTTATTATTAAGTGCTACTGAGTCAATTCTGACTCATCATGACCCTATATAGGGTTCCCAAAGAGTGGCTGGTGAGCTTGAACTGCCAACTTTGTGATTCAAATGACCTATGGTCCAATGCTTACCCTATAGCATCACACCAGAACTCCAATATGAAGTTAGCTCAAGCCTATCTTTCTGACAACCACTATATAAACATACCTAAGAGATATTGTGGGCTTTGTGGGTTTAGTTCCAGACAACCACAATAAAGTGAGCATCATAATAATTTGAGTCAGACAAATTTTTTGCTTTCCCAGTGCACACATACAAGTTCTGCTTACACTATGCTGTAGTCTATGAAGCACACAAAAACATTGTGAAAAAGTGAAAAATATTTTTAGAATTACCAAAACATAGCAGAGACAAGAAGTGAGCACATGCTTTTGGAAAAATAGTGCCGATCGACTTACTATGTGCAGGGTTGCCACGACCTTCGATTTGTAAAATACACAACATCCTCAAAGTACAATAACGTGAAACACAATAAAACAAAGCCTGTCTGTACCAGAGAGTGGATTCTTCAAAAACAGCAATTGTTTCTTACTCACTTTTTGTACCAAATGCCTTGTAACTGATTCTGTCTCATGTCTTTGTTCACTGGTTGCTAAGCCTTATTTCTCTAATTATACAACAGTCTGTGAACCATTATCTGTAAGCATTAACTATTGCAGTGTTTTAAAAACTATAAACATCTGTCCTTAAGATCTCCCATAATTTTAATGAGTCATTGGTATTAGTATAAAATGAGAGCATTCTCTTTTAATTACGGTCACAGGAAACAAAGTATGACATTGACTCTCATCTAGATTTTGCCTGGATAACACAAAACATCACCACTCGCCCCCCTCCCGAATACCAAAATACTCTTCGTTTGGAGAAGCCTCATCATTCAGGACTCTCTAGAGAACTTTGGCTGTCCCATGGGAACTTTTGTAACCTCAGCTGTCATTTAAAACAACTGCCTCCAAAATTATGTTTTCGTACATACGCATTAGTGAAGGAAAGCAAGTTATGAAGCAGTGAAGCAGTGTTCAACCCTGCTACAGAGACACTGAAGGTTCTGTGTTGAGGTTGCAGAAAAACATGTCTCTTTTCCATGAATGTACTTACAATCAAAGTCAAGTTATTTCTCAGAAGCCAACTCCAAGCCTGACCCACCAGACCCAGGACAAACCTCCTGAATCAGAGTAGAAACAACCGGCAGCCTCAGGTCTGAAAATTTATTAAGTTTATGTTGAGGAATGGCTTAGGCTAAGTTCTCTAAAGAAGCAAAACAGTGAGAGAAAGAGAGAGAGAAAGACCTATTTCAAGGACATTACTCACATGGAGCTCTGCTAGCATAGTAGTTAAGAATCAGGCTGCAAACTGCAAGATCAGCAGTTCGAAACTACCAGCTGTTCCGCGGGAGAAAAATGAGGCTTTCTGCTCCTGTGAAAATTTACAGCCTCAGAAACCCTGTACAGGGTTGCTATGAGTCAGAAGCTACTCCATGGCACACAGCCACCACTCACATGGTTGTAGAGGCTGGCAAGTCCAAGTCTGTGGCTCAGACATCAGTCTGAAAATGTAGCTTACAGGGCTGACAAACCCATGATCAGCAACTTAGATGGCAGGCTGCTGGCTCAAGTCCAAAGTACCAGAAGTCAGATGATGAGCCAGATGTAGGCTCCAGAACTAACAAAAAGCCAGAGTTTTGCCAGAATGTCCATATATGTTAGATGCAAGTCATCCTCTGAGGAAACTCAATTGATTGATAATAGCAGATCTCGTCAGTATGTTAGATCTCATCTCGGGGAATGACTACATCATTACATAACTGTCAAACTACATCGTAATTCCAACTACTGAAGACACACAACCTTAATCATATGAACTAAGAATTAAATTGCTAGTATTGGATATTTTTACTGCCAAAAAATGTCAATGTTGCACCTGATTAGTGCAAAGACTTTGAGAGCATTGTTGAAGTGTCCTAATCATAGAATGAGCTATTGATAATGACGATAAGGGTATAGGGTCCAGGATCCTTCTAGATTTAGAGAAACTGAGGCTTGGACCTAGTTGTCTACAATTAGCCTGAGAAAGAAAAACTCTATGAAGTGCAGTCATTCTCTGAGAAAAGTGTTCCCACCTCTTTTTCCACACAGTGTGGTGCTGTGGTGGAATGCGCTAGACTACAAGGTTGGATTGAACCATAAGGTCAGTGGTTCAAACTCACCAGCCGCTCCTTGGGAAAACTACACAGGGTCACTGTGTGTCAGAACTGACTCGATGATACTTAGCAACAAATCACACATTAGAATTTGGTAACTGAAAGGGAACCTGGTTAAATGTACAAAGGTGGATGCTTACTCTTTTAAACTATTGGGAGCTGTTAACATTTACCTTCCAACCTCAGGACAGATAGGTTGTTCACCATCTGGTGAGTACACATTGAACCTACTTTGTATAATAGAATGCTGATGTGGTGCTGTAGGAATAAGCACTGGACTGTCAACCAAAAGGTCAGCAATTCAAACCCACCAGCCACTCCTCAGAAACCCAATACAGGAGTACTATGAGTTAGAACTGACTTGAGGACACTAAACAGCAACATAGGGGATAATAATCGGACTTTAAGAGTCAGTCCCCAAGTTAAGTTCCTGTGAGTATTTCTTTGATGCTACCTGCGATAAACTAAAAAGACTGATGCCTTGGAAAAAACAAAGTTGGTGATTAGAATTTTAAGTGGTAAAACTCAGACCAGACAACTTCTGATACCAAGGATGACAAGTATGCTGAAAATCATTAGAGGTCAATATATATATATATTTTTTAATGGCTGCATTAGGATACTGGTTTTCTTTTTTATCTTTTCAGAATTTAAATATTCACTCTTGTCATGTTGCTGCTTCAGTAACATTCTCTGATAGCGAGGGGCCAACATCAAGCATACTCTAACATCACAGCATTTGTCTGCTGGCTCACTTGGCACCAAACTTTCCATGGAACCTCCTCATTGTAGTTGTGCTCATACCAACTACGAGCACATTAACAGGAACAAGCACATAATGGGAAGCAAAGCATCTGCAGTGACAAAGAGTATGTGCTTTGGGCCACTCAGAACAAAATTTCCATACTAGTTGCCTCCCTATGGGATTTGGACAAGTTGTTTCAACTCTGTGGGGCTTAATTTCCTTCACCACAAGATATCATTTTGGCTCTTTGTGCCTCTAAAGTACTTAAGTAACAGAACATTTTCAAGAAATGTTAGCTTTTGTAGCTCACCTTGTGTTTTGTTCCTGCTCATTGATTGTTCCTTTTCTCCCCTTTTCACAGTTGGGACATTTTTCTGATGATCATTGCTGGCATGAAGCTCCTGAGGACCTCATTCTGTAATCCTGTCCATCAGTTTGTCACCTTAAGCTTCACTGTCATCTTTTTCCACTTTGACTACAAAGATATTTCAGAGAGTTTCCTACTGGATTTCTTCATGGTGTCTATTTTATTCAGCAAGGTAAGTGTGGTAGCTGTTCTTTTCTTTTAAAACTCCAAAGGTGTACTTCTCAAGTATTTTCATAATTCAATGTGTTTTCTTTTTAGTTACACAATTAATTAAATCAAATTGAATGATACTGAGTTACCAAAAATATTCACCAAACCATCTATCCCTTTCCCAGCATTCCCTATTTCTCTGCTGGGATCAAAAATTAATTAAAATGGCCGCACAGAACTTAGACACCATATTTGTAGTTGTGAGGTTTATTAGGGAAGTTCACAGGTTATGATTCAGGGTCAGAAATGTTCAAGGCATAGTTAGTCATACAGCCTCTCCTCAGCTGTGGCCCTAGGCAGGCCTTTCTCTGCCTGGGCAACAAGCTCTTTTTGGGCTGCTAATAAATGCTCCTGATTCCTGATGTGGCACTTGTAGAATCAGCACTGTACTGTGAACCACAAGGTCTGCAGTTCAAACCCACCAGCTGCTCCTCAGAAACTCTGTACAAAGTTTCTTGAGTTGGACCTCACTGGAAGGCACTTAACATAACAATAAGTGCTCAAAGGCTCTGAGCTTAGCCATGTGGGTCAACAAACCTAACTCCCCTAATTAAGAACCTGGAGGCACCCCATTCTGCAAGCAAGCCTCCTGCCCAAAGTCACTTAGCATTACTTGTCCCTTGGGCTAGAAAGCCCACCATTCTGTCTGGTGCTCAAATTCTGGTTTCTGCTGCTGCTTCTCCTCTACTACTTCTCCAGTGCCCCTGCTTTGTGTCCTTGGGTTGAGGAGTTTTAATGCACAGAAATCTCAGATTCCAAAGGGCAACTAGGCTCTTCCTTGGTGGTGGTGGTTATGTGTCGTGGAGTCGGTTCCAATTCATAGCGACCCTGTACAAGCTTTCCGAGGCTGTAAATCTTTACGGGAACAGAAAGCCTCATCTTTCTCCCGCGAAACAGCTGGTAGTTTCAAACTGCTGACCTTGCGGTTCGCAGCCCGATTCATAACTACTATTCTACCAGAGCTCGTTAGGCTCTTCTTTAATGTTGTGAAATACCCGCTTCCTGCTTCTGAGATGGCTCATTTTTTACATGTTAGAGTTCCAGGTTTTTGAAATCACAATTAACACAGCTAACCACTCACAGCTGAATCATATAATCCTGTCAACACCTTCTCCCACCTTATTTTACCCAGACATATCAGGGCAAAAATGTTTGGTGGGAGTGTATAAAGACATTAAATGATTCACAGCATGGTACCTTCTTACTTACCATTTAGGAAAATTCCCTGTGGAGTTTAATATGTAAACATTTATTTGCTAAAATCACTAGTATAAATGAATTAACTATGTTTGAAGTTTAGATCTTTGTCTCTGTTACTTGTCTCATTATAGAACTTCCCTAGATTTTTAAAAAATTCTTAAATTCAATTAAAGATTAGGAACCAAACTAACTTTTTGATTTTTACTCTCATTTAGCTAGTGTTTAAGTTTTGGGAGTAAAGTTTGAGATCTGATATCTAATAGCAATGCCTCATGAAGTATTTTCATTCCTTTCTTCTTGTTGTTAGGCGTCACCAAGTCAGGTTTGTCTCATAGCAACACTATGTACAAAAAAGGAAACACTCCAGTCCTGCATCATCCTCACAAACATTGTTTGTTTGAATCCATTGTGGCATCCACTGCCAGTCCATCTTGTTGGAGGTCTTCCTTGCTGGCCCATCACCAAACAAGCTATCCTTCCCCACAGACTGGCCAATGTACTTGAAACAAAATTTCACCTCTCTGATGACTTGTCCAAAGTACTTGAGACAAAGATAGAAGCACTATCTTTGCTTCTAAGGAGATTTCAGCTGTACTTCCTCCAAGAAAGATTTGTTCATTCATTCATGGTATATTTAATATCCATAACCTGTGCCTTAATTCAAATACATCGATTTTTCAGTGTTCATTGTCCAACTTTCTCATGAATATGAGATTCTTGAGTTAGCTGCACCTTAGTCTTCAATGTAACATCTTTACTTTTTAGCATTTAAAAGAGATCTTTTGCAGCAGATTTGCTCAGTGCAATACTTTACAGGAAGGATCAGTCACCCGAGAAGGATATTATGTTTGG